CCCCGACACTGCGGACCTTTGCACCGCCCATTGGTTCTCCCTGAAGGAGCCGGACGTGGGCTGCCTGCTGGCGGCGCCCTATGGGCGTCCTCCCGCGCACCTGACGTCATCCTTTTCCTTCCGCTCCGGCGCGGGGGCTACTGCGCATGCGCCGGCCTGGGCGGGGGGGTGGGTGGGGCCACGGCTCCTGTCGCGCGCTTTCCCTCAGTGGCCGCCGGTGATGAGGGAGCGTGAGGCGGGGGGAGGGAGCCGATCCGAGCCGATACGATATGATCCGAGCCGAGCCGAGCCCTCCTCTGACGGCGACACCCCGAGGGTCGGTGTTGGCGCCGCTCCCTCAGCCGCGCTGAAGCGACCGCGGAGCGAACCGGCGGGATCCTGAGCCCGGGCACGACCTGCCGTTTTTCTCTGTCGCTCGCCTGTGATGAGTGCCTATGAACCCGGGAACTTATTGCAGCTTCTGACTCGTTGTGTCGGAACTCACGAAAAATGCCTTTGTGGGAGCTCCCCGTTGCGGGGCCGTGAGGCGGGAAGCGGCTGATGGCGGGGCGGGCCGGAGCCTTCCCCCCTGACAGGCGGCGGGTCCCCGGCCGCCACACGGGCCCTGCCGGGGGACGGGCATCTCCTTCCTGTCCCTTCTGGAGACCAAGTGCGACAATTGAACGGCAGCAGTCAGATTTTAAATAGTTAATGTTTCAATCCGTGGAATGCAATTCAGAAGTCCCACAGGACTCAATGCAAAGTTGGGGTTTTGCCTCCTGTGGGGACTGAGGAGAGGTGAGAGAAACAGAGTAAAAAAAAATAAAATAATAAATCATTCCTAGAACAACAACTATAGTTATGGATTATAAGCTATGAAGTAGACCAAAAAAAGAGTAAGAAGGCTTACCCAATTACAAATTACAGTTGTTTGAACACTGAGCAGCTTAAGGGAGCAAACGGTACCATCAGTCTCATCCAGAGCTACAAACCACTGCTGAGGTAAAATCTGTTGGCTGGTAGTAGCATCATGAAAATATTAATCCTAGCCGTTAATCCTTCTGATTTATAGGTATTACACAAATCACGTTGCTGATTTTTCTAAGCCTGCTGTTAGGAGTGGCCACGTACCGTTCACCTTCAGAGAGTGGCTTGTTGAGAACGCCACCGATGGGCTGACTGCCTTGGGAGTGTTTCAGATGGAATACAGACTGCAAAAATTGAGCCTGAAAATTGCATCAGGTAAAGTTAAGTTACTAAAAGCATCTGTTAAATATCTATAAAGTATCCTACCTATCAAACACTTTGAAAACAAAGTAAATTTTGTGTTAGAATTAAGAGGGTATTGAACAAATGGTTCAGGTGTTATAACAAATTGTACCCTATTAAGCAGTTTGAGAGCACAGCCGTGTATAGCTTGGCACGGTGTTGGAGTGTGAGCTGTAGAGTTGTGGTTCCAGTGACAGGTACAAGGTATGCAGAATACCTCGAGAACGCGGCAAGACAAATACCATAAATATCTAACCAAGCAAGTTTTTGTGGAAGCAATATATTTGATATAATAGTTAGCTACTTGGAGGAAAAGAATAGTAGCTGTACTTAAACCATCTTGAAGTAATTTGTCATGAGTTAACCAATGAGAATTAATCCTGTTACATACACTCATTACACTCAATTTTAAAATATTACTCATGTAAGCCTACATAAACTTACCGATTATATTTTGGCAATTTAAACTGCTGAAAAAGGGAACTTTGTTACTCTTTTATGTGAGAGAACTTAAGAACTTCTTTAAAGGGAATTTGGAAACATCATGTTTCTTTATTGAAAAGGAATTGCCCCTGTACACTGCTAGAACATGGCTGAAGTCAGCTGGAAAATCTTACAGTCGCTGTCTTGGAAAATTACCCTTCTGTCATCTTAAAAGCAGTTTTAAGATGACAGGTGTTTCATCGCTATTTGTACTGATGATTTTAAACAAACTAGGTTAATTATTTGGCAGTAAAAGGAAATATATACTTAATGTATTAGGTATAGCTAAAAGTTATAGAGCTTTTCCACGTTTTGGAGAACAATAGGTGTTCTGTGATAAACTTAGCCACTGTGGTAGAATTGTTTAGAAGAAGCATATGTTTTAGTTGCTTTTGTGAGACTGACCAAGAACCTAGTTGGAGTTGAGTTAAAGGAATTCTATGTCCCAAGTTTCAAACTGAACAATATTGCAGGACAGGCTATGGTGAAATCACTACATTTAAAGTATTTTAGTTTCTCACATGTTTATTTTAAAATCCCAGGGAAGTCATCTTTTAATTATGTTTTTGCTATCATAGTCTAAATTCTCAATTTAGAATGCCATGTATTTAGGAGAATCTCCTTTAAGAGTTACATTCCTATAAAATCTTGAAAGATACAGTCTGAACAACAGCTGTTACCTGTCTCATTATTTGCAGGATTCTTTGAAAAAAAAGCATGAGCAATTCCTTTTGTCATTACTTTTATCTTAAATCAAAGCTAGCTATTGCAACAGCTTCTTTTTTTTTTTTTTATCAGAAATGGGAATTTCTCAGGTCACGATGGTGTATTTGGCAGCAGAAGTGGTGACTCTGTCATAAATAACTCTGATGTTTCTACACCTCTGTTACACCCTTGCTTTTGCGAGTGCTGGAATTCAGGTGAGTTTGTGGTGGACTGGGGAATTGACACAGGAAAAAAGTAGTAGCTATGACTGAATGACTCCCTGAGATGTGGTTCACCTTGCAGCCACACAAACTATTGTGTTGGCAACAGAAAAATGCACTTTGAACAGCGTCCTGAAATTGTCATCGCTTAAGTAGACAAAGACCTCAGAAGAGAGTATGTGAGAGAAATAAATGGAGTTATGTGTCACCTCAGTTGCCAGAAGTGGTGGTATTAAGTATCAAGATGAAAACAGCAGAAACCAAGATCATCTTATGTAACTAGGCACGTTACAAAGGACTAAAACTTACTATTTATAAGCACTGTAATTGTAATTACTGATGTTATCCTGAGGACAGCGCTAGACTTCATTCATGTTGATGTCAGAACATTTTCAGAGTGGGATGATGGCATGCTGAAGACGTGCCTGATGGCTGCTATTTCAACACATTGGTTAGAGCAGTAGGTTTACTGATAAGGGTAACTTCAGGGAAAAGGAGAGGCTGGTACAAGCAGCCATTTTCACTATTAAGCAAATTAAATGTGGATTAATCTCTTCAAAAAAGGAGATGAAAATCCTGTAAGATTGTCACTGTTGCTAGCTAATAGCTATGTTTTTCATCCTGATGCTTTTTACCATTCTGTCATGTCTGTCTGTATGTTTATTAGCTTCAGGTGAATGACAATAGTTGTGATTTTCTAATGCTTTTCTCTTCCTGACTGAAATTCCTTAGGGTAATAGAGTTTTTAACCCGGTCAAGGAAGCATTTAAACTGAAGAACTGAGTCCTCATTCCAAGCACACCCAAACTGCACTCCAAGCTTCAGTTGCTGAACTATACCCTTGTTGCTCTACCATTGGTTCATCATATCTTCCAAGCTTGCTACGTCTGTGTCTTGTTTTTAGATTCGGCCAAGCTGCAGCCTGAAAAACATGCAATTGTAGATTTTTTTAAATAATAGTTATTAAGACAAAAGAAAATACATGTTCTATTCGTTCATTGCTTTACTCTGCAAGTAGATGTGTTCCTTGTTGTTAAATTATGATACAATCTTAAGATTTATGATTGAGTAGTTAATTTTTAAAAAATCCCTCATGAATTCTCTTGTTTAAGTGAAGTGATATTTTGATCTAAGGAAGGGTTGGAACTTGGAAATTAAGGCATTTATGCAGCTGCCTTTTTCAAAAACACAGCCAGCTTTTTAAATATTTTTTTTTCCCCACAATAAGCTTATAAAACAAAAGAAACAAAGGGACTTCTCTTGAACTCTCAAAAAAGCTTCAGAGAGGAAACAAAACAAAACCAGTCTGACTTCTATAATTCAAATGTTATAAAGTAAATTGCTTTGAAACACATATTTATTATGTGCTCAGTGATCAGGAGAATTACATGGCTGTGAATGATAGTTTTAGATGAGTGGAAGACAAGTGAGTTTTTTCAGTCTATTCCTTTATTTGCAGCATCTGAAGTCCTTATCATACAACACTTTGTGACATTAGGATTACAGTTCACTGGAATTTGTGACATAAATAAGTTATTTATGTGTAGAGATAATTCCAGGAATGTATTCCCTTCAAAACTGTTTTGGTTTTGCTGTTTTGAAAGAGTCCTTGATTCTTTCCCAGACCCAGAATTCTATCACATATAAGACATGGCTCTCTTTCCTTAACTAGTGGTTATGGACTATAACTACGTAGGGAATATGTGGTTGTTGTTCCAATTCCACATGTATTTTGGGGAAGGAAAAAATCTCCCTGAATAATTAAAACAGGACATTTCAAAAAAATATGTTTTTTTAACATCTGTAAAAACAGTCAGTTTTGGTCAGACGTGAATATATGTTTTAGCTACTACCAAAGGAAATATTCAGCAACAAAGAATGTATACGTAAGTTCTATAAATACTTCAGCAAGAGAGAGCTTTATACAAAACAAGCATATAAATTATAGAACTCATTTGGTGGAGACGGGGTCAGGAGTATTGACCTGAATTAACCAGATCAAAACAGTTAAGCCATATTATATCTTTATGAGAAGAGAAACTTGCAAAATTGAACTAAACTAAATTAGATTATGAACAATTCCTTTCCAAAGGGAAGTGACAGGACCAAAATAATACCCTTTATTTTAAATAAACATGTGTAGATTAAATATAGTTTAACATAGTCCATTCTAAAAGCATGGATTCTACACCAATCTGCAATTGGTGGGGCTTTTGCTTGTTTTTCTGGGGTGCCCACACTATTATTGTTCTATTTTCTGCCACTACTTGATAACCTCTCTTTTTGCTTAGGATACCCAGAAGTGAGTGAGCATTGCTCTGACCAAAATAGGAAGACCTATTGCACATTTTTGTAGCTGCCAGCATATGAAGGAGGACTCCCACTAAAGGTATTGCAAGTCTGAGGCTTTGTTTCTGCTTTGTTTTGATTTTTAATATTTCCATGATAAAACATTGAGTATTGCATGGCAGTTATAGTCTCTGTGGTATTTATCTATGCATGCCATGCTGTTGAAAACCCTAATTCACTGCATTACTGAAACAGGAAAAGCTTTTCCTTTACAAATGCTGATGAAATCATACATTGTCATTTCCAGCAGTTACCGGTCAAATTAAGGGCTTGACCCTTGAAAATAAAATGAACTTTTTTTCTTCTAAAACAGCAACTATGTCAGTCTACACACATTTTTTGAAAGCCACACAAGAAAAGAATATCCTCTACTACACCACACTTATCTCTGTAGAAATAAAAGGGGTTTTGGTAGTTTTATTTATTTTTTTGTTTATTGTTTCCTAAAAGTCTCTATATTATTATTTAATTACCCTTAGACTTGAGCTAAGCAGCATGATGATATCTTCCTACACGAACAGCATATTGCAAAGTTGTGTTTGTGACTTGGTACTCTGACAACCATGTTTGAGATACAGTTCATTTACTTATTGCCTACAGTGGTCATGCCCTAGCAGGGAAATAATTTCTGCTATCACTAAGAAATTGGTGGTGGTGGAGGGGCAGCAGAGTATTTGGAGAACAGCTACAAGGCACGTGAAACTGTAACTTTTATGACTTGAGCTTGATGTTGGCTATAACTTTTATTTTTCTTTGGGAAACTACTTAGTTTTTTTTAAATTAATTTAAGACTTCTTGTTTGTTAAAACATAGTTGGAAATTGTTTAAGCCAGTGCAAACACCTCTGGGGTTTTGTGTAGTAGTTAGTGTAGAAATCTATCAGTTATATCCTTAACATAAGAATTAAGTATTAGGATACAATAGAGAGTATCTTGGTTTTGTTTCAATGTCTTAGTCATAATCTGCAGCAAAAAATACAAGCTAGTAAACAGCCATTCCGCAATGCCTTACTGTAACTTCTAGATTATTTTACTGAATCTAAGAATAATTTTGCCTTCCACAGTAATGGAGTCACAATCCAGTAGCCCAGCAGAGGGCATAAATCCCACTCCTGGGCTTCCTGGGGCAGTGGCCAGGCCCACAGTTTGTAGGAGCTGAAACCTAGTGGGTAGCTACAAATTGATGTCTGACCTGAATCCAGCAAAAAGTAGGAAGGTAACAATTCTTTTAGGTTGAAAGGTTCAAAATTAGAAAGGACTTTTTGAATTAAAAAAAAAAAAAAAGTCAAGCAATGTTAGTGCTGTGTTTTAGCACACAGAAAACAGTTCTCAGTGGGGCTAGTTGAAATTGTTAATGCTAGCCACCATCATGAGCATTAGCTTCAGGCCTCTGAATAGCCTCAGAGGACAATCACAAGTAAAATATGTTGCAGTGTGACAAAGTTATGGATGACTGGTCTAATGAGAATGTGAACAGAAACAATAACCATTTTTCAAAATGGGTGACCTGTCAGAGATTTTCTGTTAGCCAGAAAAGAAAAAAAAAGTAGAGGGACAGAAATTGTATACACATTGCTTTAATTCCTGATTTGATGATATCTGACCTATTCCAGCTGATTATAGGCAATTTTGGCCAGGGTAATGAGCAGTCAGTGGGCAGTTCTCACAGCACCTCACTTCATGTCCAGCGACCTAAGGAGACTCATTTCTGAGAGTGCAAAATATATCTTTGAAAATGAGATACTGATTTATATATATAAAGATACTTTAGGGATTCAGGAAAGCACATCATGAAGGTAATAATTTGTCAACTCTCTTCTCTCTGAGAAGCTTTTAATTTTCATTTTGTTAATATTATGTTACTATTTACGGTTTCCCTAAAGAAAAGAATATCAGAATTTTTCCTTCCGTTAGAAGGAATCTTTTTCATATTATTTATTGTGATTAAGAAGGTTTAAATGTAGCAATCTATGCCCACTTAAATTATTGGATTATTTTATTCTTTTCCATTTTCTCTATGCTGTTGTCTTACTCATTTGTATGTTATAAATAGGCATTGGAGATTAAGCTGAGGAAAATTATACCTATTTTCTGACCTGTTTGCTAATATAATATTTACATCACTGTTGTAACTCGCTAACCCATTATCATGAGCTTCAGCTGTTTACATCAGATCTTAATTTTATCATTTTCTTTTCTGTAACTACAGCTGAGCTGATTAATTTAACAATGTAAGGTGTGTCTGATTACTTCCTCTGGAAGACAGAGAATGCCACTGCATCCACTCTTAGCATGAATCTCAGGAAGTGTTTTATTCAACGTGTAATGCTTGTTGTAGCTGTACTTTAGAGCTATACATTTTCTGTTAGATTCAGTATCTTGGTTTTTCACCGAAGTAGTCCTGTGCTTATTTGCTTAGAGCTTAGAGGTTAACTGCAACAAATGTTTAATGCTAGAGAATTCTAGTGTAACTGCAAAGATGGAATATGGGTAAAGTGAATGGATCTATCACAGGTTATATATGAGGCTTAAATCTGCCCATAAAGAAGATGGGGGCGAGACAAACAGTGGTTTATAAACTCAGTTAAAGAATGGTGCTTTAGCAAATAAGACAGGGAGAACTGAAGGATTCCTCTCCACACAGGGAGAGTTCCCTGCCAGCACACAAAAAAAACCCAAAACAAAACGAAACAACCTTTTTCTTTAGCTTTGCAAGATCTAGAAGGCCTCAATGTCTTAATAAATTTAAAAGTCAGATTAGTGTAACTTCTAGCAGTGTCCTACCTCTAGTAGGAGTTGTCCGAGAGAAGCCAGGAAGCAGGTGTATGCTCACTTCAGAGCCAAATCAAAGTGCCACCATAGACACACATTTTGCTGGTTAGATTGCTCTTAGTGGGAATGATCTCTCTGAAGTTTTGCAGGAGGCCTTCTCATAAACAAGTAGGGATCAAGCCAGATATTCTCTTCTTGCAGTCAGGTATCCTAATCACAAGCTAGAGTGCCACTGGTGTACGTTTCTTTCTCTGTTACTGATTTAGAGACACTCCTAAGTCTTTTCACAATTTCAACAAAAAGCATAGAGGCAGTAGTTGCTTACAAACCTCTGTAAGCTGGCAATCAGATTGTCCTTTTTGTAGGTGAGCTAAGTAGGTTAAATATCTTCAAGGCCTCTAAACTGTATCTCTCATATCCTGAAAGCTATTAACACATCGGCACTGTGTCTGCTTTCCTGCAGTCTTAGGTCAAAATGGCTAAATGTTATATATCTGCCTTGTTTAATCATATCCACATGGCTGAAACAGAAAGTCCCTAGTCATCACATTGGCTGTTAGGAATACTTAACTCTCTCCATATACTGTGGAGGAAGCTCAGGCCCTTCAGATAGAGAGCCAGCCACCACAATGCTCAGTTAGAGACTAATACCTTAATTCCTGCAAACAGTATAAGCAGTTATTCGTCAGCTGATCTTAACTGTCATCCTTATTCCAAAAGGTCAGGCAGTCATCCAAAACTTGAGTTTATAAGCACTAGTAAAAATGGCAAAGTGTTTTCAAGCTGACTGAATATAAAAACATACTTAAGTAATTCTTCAGGTTGACCTCTGACACATTCCAAAGAATTGGAGTTTCAAGTTTGAACAGTAGTGTTTACTTTTTGCTTTATATCGTATATTTAAATAATCTGTCTCCTAAATCTCCAGGTCCGAGCCCTGGCGGTGTGTGGGAGGTGGACAGGGCTGGATGGAGAGGTGTGGAACCCAACGGTGTGTGCTGGACTGTGGGCAGAGGAACAAACCGCTGCCTGTTTCTGGGGGAAACATAGTGAAACAAAAGCCACATAACAAAACTAAAAAATTTACATATACACTGAAATACTCTGATTGAGTTTAAATAAAACTTTAAATAAGGAGTGGCCAGACACAGCTAGGTTCTTTCAAAGACAATACTTTCAATGGAAAATCAAAGGAAAATGAAGTTAGCTGATGCCTTCAATCTAGCTCATTTCTGTTTTTATATTGCTGAGTATCAAACTGATGACAGGTTTTTCTGTTTTCTTTCCAATCACTACTGAAATACAGGATTCAAAATACAACTTTTTCAGAGGGTAGGGGAGAGAAGAGTCTTCCCACCCTCCCAAAACACACACACACACAGACACATGCAACTTTCCATATAAAATTTGCACGTTGAATTCATCTTTTATTCATTCCTGGCAATTTTCATTTCAATTCTTGACTTGTCTTGAGCAACAAACTGTTTTAAAATACAAAAAGGATTAATAAATACAGCCATTTATTTAAAAAAACAAAAAACCCCCCAAAACCCCCAAAAAACCAAACCTGCAGAAATTACTGATAGTCATGCTGCTGTGTATTAGGAATTATAAATGTGTAGAGGAACATTTTGGCAATGTGTAGATCAGTTGTCATCAACAGCCATTTCACTAAGTGGTCTACACAGCAACTGAAACTTTAAAAATGTGTGAAAACCAGATATTATGAACTTGTATGTTTTCCTTTCACTCCTCTCTTCTAAGGAAAAGTAGATTCTTTGCTTCAAATTAGGAAAAAAAAAAACCAAAACCAGAATGCTTCATAACTGAGAGTCTACCAAAAGAGAAATATTTCTTTAAAGTATTTTAATTGTTGTTTGTCAAACTAGGATTAGCATTTTAAGGAAATCATAGAAGTGGAGGAGAAAAGCATGAGAATCCTTTGGATGGAGCTTTGAGCAACCTGGTCTAGTGAGAGGTGCCCTTGCCCGTGGCAGGGGGTGTGGAACTAGATGATCTTTAAGGTCCTTTCCAACCCAAACAATCCTATGAATGCTGCCACACAGCCTAATAAAGTAATTTCTTTAAAGAATCATAGATTACATTCCTCTGTCCAGCATCTTAGTATTCAAGCCGGTATGACTCTAAAATTACAAAATCTCAGGGACTTAATTGATTTATCGCTAAAGTTGCTATATAAACGACATAATCATTGGAAGCTAGTGATTCCACAGGGAATTATTCTAAAGAAATTAGTACCTGAAAAAGT